AGCCTTCTTGGCAACAAGAGCACACTGTTGACTCATATCCAGCTTCTCGTCCACTGTGACTCCTAGGTCCTTTTCTGCAGAACTGCTACCTAGCCATTCGGTCCCTAGTTTTAGCGTAAGGTAATTTGTCCAGTTTTATAAATCTGGGATCCTCACACTGTAAGTCTCAATATTTGATTGTGAGGTGCTAGATCAGATAATAATGGGACCCATATAAGTACCGGAGACTAGATGTACTGGATTCCCCAAATATTCACTAATCCTATGTGGCATCCATGGGACCATATAGTTCCCTAATTCCTGCTCTAAATATGATGTTTCTATAAAAATTCAATACAATAAGCCTTCTTTTGTTAAAATGAATTTTTCATGTGGTTCATCTTTTGCTCTCCTCCTCTCAGGCCATGTGTTCTATTAAGATTGAGTCTGTTGTGAAGGAGAAGAACAGGATGGGAGAGTGCCCAGTATGGGAAGAAAGGGAAAATGCACTTGTATATGTGGATATTAATTCACAGAAAGTTTGCCGCTGGAACTCAGTCACCAACGAGGTGCACAGTGTGTCTGTGGGTAAGACAGTGCCACGCTAAGTCTTAAAACTTGTTTGCTACTTTGTTTCTGTTTTTTAGGTTGTTTTTTCCCCTGTGTTATAGTTGATCTATCTCTAGTGATAGTCGTTTGTATGCAGTGGAGCTGTAGCCATGTCGGTCCCAGGTTAGTAGTTTGTCAGTTAGTAGTGTCATGCTGCCTAGTATGGTACACAGCTAAGAACGCCAATCTCAGGTCAGACTGCCATAAAACAGGGCATGTTCCCCAAACTGGCAGTATAGTCTATCATAAGGTTTCACCAAGCCAGTAACACATGTGTACTTCCAAACTGCTATACTAGTTGTTATGTAGCCACAGACAGGCCCATTCAGGCCCTCTCGCCCCTCATGCACCATCCAGACAAACCAGAGTTCTATGATAAATGATTATTAAAATCAGAATCACATGTATTAGATTCTTCTCATTCCAAGGAACCAGACACACTCCCAGGTCAAAATATACTTCAGATCTTACCCCCAAACCATGCTGGTAGCCAATCCTTTAGTTACTAAAAACTAAAGGTGTATATATATATAAAAAGGAAGAGCGTTATTAAGAGGTTGTAATGAATCATATCCATTACAGTTGATTTCAGAGTTTGTAGATCAGGATAATAGCAGTGATGTTAAATCTGTCAGTTTGTAATAAATCTCTGTTTCATCTCAAATATTGGGGTCCTCAGTCCATTGTTCAAAGCTCTTCTTTGTTAGAAATCATAATTCAGAGATGTGGAGCAGGAAAGAAGCAAGGGGATGATGTCACACTCTCCCATTGACAGCCTCCTCCCCCCCTCCAACCCATGGGTATGGAAAGTTCCTGTCTCAAACATGGAGTCAGGGATCACATGTTCTATGTGCCCTTGCTGAGTCATGAGGCATCCATTGTCTACATGCTCTTGGAGGCATCCTCAGGAGGGGCCCACTGGAAGAGTTGATTCTTTTTAATGGCCCATCAACCATGGCTGGCTGGTCTTGATGTAAATCTGTCCTGTGGGTGTTACCTAGGAACACAACATGTTCAAGATACAAACACACAGCAAAGATCCATAATTTCATACACGATGATAATAAATATAAACAGGATAACTTTGTTCAACAAATCACAACCTTTCCAATGATACCTTACAAGGCATACTTTGCATAAGATTTATCGAAATTGTGCAACAGTGATGCTACATCAGTGGTGATATCTTACTATACATATGGTGATCTTTCTTCCTATACAGAGCCACAAGTAGTTTATAGTATTTCATGCCATCCTTTTACTTTCTATTGGGACAAGTGAACTGCATTCCTACAATCAATTGTTTAGTAAGAGGTGGCCCAAGTCAACAAGACAGAGAATTATAGTTATCAAGGTGGCGGTTCGAAATGCATGGATCACTGTGTCTAAGTCCAAAGTCAACAGGAAAGGGCACAGTTTTCCCGGAAGTGGTAGATGAATTGGATTTTTTTCTTGGCTCTGGGTGCTTGAGTGTTTAGAAGTAGTGAGGAGCCTAGGAGAACACTAAGACTACAAGCTATGTTAATGATCTGAATGGAAGGTAATGTTATAGATGTGGCAAGTTCTTCAGAGTGCCTCACTTCTCCTACTCACATTATCTCAGTCTTTCCTGGATTCAGCTTCAACCAGTTTTTCTCCATCCAGTTACTGATCTCAGCCATGCCATTAGAGAGCTAAGAAATGGTACTGTACATCTAGTAAGAAGGTGATGTCAAATTGGATATAGAGCCTATGATATAACATGATCTGACACCCACTGAATTTCTCCCGTTCCCCCTCTCTCTCTTGTTTGCAGATGCTCGCGTTGGCTCGGTGGCCCTTCGAAAGTGCGGGGGTTATGTCATTGCCTTGGGAACCAGATTTGCCTTTTTAAACTGGGAAATGGAGTCAGTAACCACTATTGCAGAACTTGAACAGGATAAACCAAACAACAGGTTCAATGATGGGAAAGTGGATCCAAAGGGGAGATTTTTTGCTGGTATGTTTCTGACAGGATTTTCACTCTCAATGAAGTAGGACTATTTCTAATGTGTATTGTACTTTTATTCTCTGGGAACTTGATTCTTCAGCTGAGCTTCACTCAGCAATAGGTGAAGTGTGTGAGAATTGGTACTTCTATTACTGCAGAAGCATGAACTCAGAAAGTGGTGTTTGGATGCCTCTGATTGTGAGACAGGTCAGGAGAAGGGACTCAGTCTAAAGTGAGACTGGCCTGGATGTAGCAGGGGCAGACAGGATTTCATGCATTCACCCCTCCCGCCCCCACACACACACGCTCAGATTTACATTATAGATTCAAATTAAAGGCCTGATTCTACAAACACTTGCTACCAAACACAGCAATTACTACTGGGAGCAGATCCACAGAGTCGTGACAGTAATTTCTATGCTTGGCAGTGGTTCCAGAAACAGGTCCAAATGTGTTATGTCAACTATAGTCTGTCAGTTTATTATTCAATATTTACCAACAATAGTTATTCTAATTTCAGACTGGAGTTTACTATATTAAGGGTTGATGTGGTGTTAACTTTATTCTTATTTCCTAGTCTTGCAGCAGCCTAAAGTTAGAAAAATGAAAGAGAAATATTATTTTTCTATATATGCTGTTCATATCTGTATGTGATGAGTGGACAATCCCAACTTAAAAGTTGGCTCAAATATTGTAAAACAAGCTTTTATAAAATTTAAGACCAATAGAAGGATTTCCACAAATTAAAATCAAAACTTAAATATTCCCCATGGGCATTAAAAACTCAATTATTGCAGCAATTTGAAAGTGACTGTAAAAAAAAAAATCCACAGCAACACCACCACCAAAACCTCAAGCAAACAGTGAAACTGGCTTCACTTTCATTTTTCCAGTAGAGACATGCAAAAAGTAAACAAGTGAAAGAGCTTTAATGGTGACATGTAAATTGGATTTATAAAAATCTTTAACTTCTGTTGTTCTAAGTCTTTATTAATAACCTAGGTAACAATACGTTTACAGTATATGCATTTTAAGTTCAGAGTCCCTTTAAGTAATAAAAGTATATACCCCAAGGAGAACATGAGGAGGTCATTATTGTAGTTACCAGGGTGTAAAGATTCTCCAGGCTGCTGTACTTTCCAATGATTGATCCCATTATCCTTTTAGGTACCATGGCTGAGGAGACAGAACCTGGTGTGCGAGCGAGATGCCAAGGTGCCCTCTACACGCTCTTTCCTGATTATTCTGTAGTGAAGCAGTTAGACCAGGTGGACATCTCTAATGGATTGGATTGGTCACTGGATCACAGAACCTTCTTTCATATTGATAGTCTGGCGTATGCTGTCCATGCTTTTGACTATGATGTGCACACAGGAAAAATCGGTATAGATGCTTTTCTTAAATCAGTTTTTAAATCAATGTAGTTTGATTTCCTTCAGCAAGAGCTGGGTGTGTAATTGTCAGTGAAGTAGATGACAAATTATAAATTTTTCTGTTCACAAATTGTCAATAGAAAAAGAAATTCACAATCTATGACACAATTATTTGGTGAACATTTCTTGGATTCTAGCTTGTTCATGGACAGTTCATTGTGAGAATTCAGAATCTGTTTTGATTGGACAGCTAGGTCAAGTTAAGAGCTGATGTTAAGAGTTGCACAAAGGAAGCTGTTTGCAGTGTACAATCACAATGAATTGTATCGATCCTACAAAACCCATAAACAATGCTACATATTCTTGAGTGCCATCTACTGGTACACTTTCTATTAACTCTCATAAAAGATCATACCATATGTTTCTCTTCCCTGATTACAGAAGCATATTTTTAAAATCAGGTTTCCAGTAGGAATGCTCACAAATATAAATTTACAGTTCTCCACAAATGTTCTGTAGCATTCATGTAAAATCCATGGCTTGGGCAAATATTCCTTGCTTACTACAGTCTTTGCAGAAAGGAGACTGGAGTGTGAGTACAACTGACCCAAATTCACTTAAAAACTTGAACAAACGTTCAGTGAAACTTTTTTTTGGCCCATCTCACAGAGCAGCAATTCAACTGAGACTAATTATTGTCATGTCAATTGTGATTCAAATGACTGAATTGGTTCCCTTTGTACACTAGTCTGTGCAGACTTTATGCATGTATAAATGAAGTATTTAGAAGTGGAATACAACTAAGTAGATTTCCTCTGCCTATTTTTATAAATTTCTGGTGAGAAGATTTTTTCATGACACCTACCGGTATCTTTCCAAACTATGAAAGCACTGTGAGTCTGAATCTCCTTTCACCCTGGTTTTATACCGGAAAATCTCCATTATGGCTGCAAACTAGGGTCCTGATCTTACATTATAATCCAAACAGGTGTACTGCTGCACCTGGGAAGAGCCCCAATGACTTCACTAGGTCAATGGGACTCCATGTAGGCATAGCAGTCTGCACAGAACACCACACTGGATTATGGTTTAAGCATGTAAGTCTCTGTGTCTAGTTTGACCATCATGTCCTTGGTGTCCAAAGCCCAATTAAATAATGAGTTTATAGCTGGTCAACAAGAAGCCAGTCTCTCTTTGTATTAAAGTGGCTTCTTGGTCTTTGTCTGGGAGAGATTATGTATTAACTACATTTAAATTAAGTAGTTCTGTGGTTTGCATATGAAAAAAAACACACAGGCAGAGATCAGTGGTGAGTACCTAAAATAAAGTCATTGTGCTTGTGATAGTCATAAACTGGCCTAGGGCTCATACGTTGAGCAATATGGATAGAACAAATTCTTCAACAGCAAAGATCTGTACTCCATGCTTGGTAAAAGCACAGGCATCTGAATTCAGTATAGCCTCAGACAACAGTTCTAATGGCTGTTTATTTTTATCAGACTAACTGTGCCCCATCAGCCATCTCTAGGCACATGTGCAAATCAAATTTTGATGTCTGCCTTCATCACAAAAATGAATTGATTTGTTTGTAAGAGCATTTAGGAGACTGTGGAATTTGTTAAATTAGCATATGGTACAGTGAAGCTATCACAGTGGTATAGCTAACCTATCACATTCAGTGTTGACTTCATAATTCCTTCCACAGCCTGCTGTAAAGTTTTGTACCAATTAGAAAAGGAGGAACAAATGCCTGATGGAATGTGTATTGACGCAGAAGGGAAACTTTGGGTGGCCTGTATCGATGGAGGGAGAGTGATCCGTATAGATCCTGAGACAGGTAAGCCCTCACAAAGGTGAGCTGGAATTCTGTATTAAATAACCCAATTTCAGGATGGGAATCACCTGTGCCACATGCATTGCTTGAGGCAGGCTCCCTCTGTTCTATTGGGGTTGGCTTATTTTGTATTAAGTGTTCTGTTTGTGGCCTAGTCTGATAACAGATCACTTCCCCTGGGGAGTAGGCACAAGAAAATGGCAACAACCATAAACTCATAATCAACCTGTCAACATCCACAAATCTAACTCATTATCCTCCGTCGAATCCCTCCTTAAAATTCTCCTTTGCCATAATGCCTACAAAAAAAATTGGCAACAGTTAGACTGCTGAAGTGCTGAGTCCATAGCCTATCATGCTGACCAATAGTGTCTCATTGTTTCCTTGTACTCCCAGCTCTGTTTGTCTCCATCTGTTGTCTCTTGTCTTATACTACATGGAGTTCTGGTTACCTCATCTCAAAAAAGATATATTTGAATTAGAAGAGGTACAGAGAAGGGCAAAAAAAATTATTAGGGGTATGGAACCGCTTCCATTGGAGGAGACATTAAAAAGACTGGGACCTTTCAGCTTGGAAAAGAGAAGACTGAGAGGGGATAGGAGAGAGGTCTATAAAATCATTAATGGTTTGGAGAAAGTGAATATGGAAGTGTTATTTATCCCTTCATATAGCACAAGAACAGGAGTCGCCTGATGAAATTAATAGGCATCAGGTTTAAAACAAACAAAAGGAAGTATTTCTTCACTCAACGCACATCAACCTGTGGAACTCATTGCCAGGGGATGTTGTGAAGGCCAAAAGTATAACTAGGTTCAAAAAGAATTAGATACGTTCTTGGAAGATAGACCCATCAGTGGCTATTAATCCAGATGGTCAGGGATACAACCCCATGCTAAGGGGGCCCCTAAACCTGACTGCCAGAAGATGGGATGACAGGCCCTGTTCTGTTCATTCCCTCTGAAGCATCTGGCACTGGCCACCGTCAGAAGACAGGATAGTAGGCTAGATGGACAATTGATCCGAACCAGTGCGGCCATTCTTAAGTTCTTATATTGATGTAAGCTTTTTGTGGGAGGGATTGTTCTGTATTTGTACAGCACCTAGTACAATGGGGTCCTGGTCCATGACTGGGGCTTCTAGATGCTATGATAATACAAATAATGAATAGTAAGAATGAATAATAACAAGTAAAATGTGGAATCATTCAATGGTAGTCCTTCCAGCCCAAGTTCAGTCGTGCCATGGATACAATGCTGTATTTTCAGTTTGCAAACAATGAATGTTGGGTGTGATTGCAGAAGAAGATGGGGAACTGGATAAAGGCCATGAATTAGCAAAGCTCTCATGTATGTGCTTCAAGTTAAGTATGTACTTAAGTACCTTGTTGAATTAGGACCAAAGCAATTGGAGTTTGTAAAATTTTGCTTTAAATGAGAAATTTTGGAAATTGAACCTTCATTATCTGGATAATGGCTCAAAGGTTTTGTGATGGTGTCCAAAGACCATGAGAAAATGCTGAAATCATGAAGCAGGTTGAAAAGGTAAAAACGAAGCTTGGCTCCATGAAAGACAAGTTTAGAATTGAGAAGCTGAGGTTGGTGGGATATTCTGAAGAGTTTGGAATGCTTGGTGTTGCTGCACCCAAGGGGTTTGAAGAGATCATCTGCATGAACTGAAGTTTGGGATGAATGCTTCCTTTCTGTCACGCACAATTACTGTTTGTTACTCTGGCACAATCCACCACTCTCCTGTCTCCTCACATTCCAAGTCCCTCCTAAAAACTCCCAGGAAGGGAATAAAATCAAACCTTAAATAAAAAAGTTTAAGTTACACTTTTTCCAGGCCTGAACAATCCTGTCTTCCTTCTGCTTATTAGATGGTAAACTGTTGAAGGTACTAGGGGGACTGTAGCCATCTTGGACATCACTGGACTTTAGGAATCTAAATACCTATGTGGATCTGGGCCCTTGTGCATTGTCAAGAGCTAAGAACATTGCCAGCACTTAATAAATAATAGTACACATCTACCCCGATATAACACGGTCCTCCGGAGTCAAAAAATCTTACTGTGCTATAGGTGAGACTGTGTTATATCGAACTTGCTCCTTGTCCCCTGACCGCCCCCTCCAGAGACCCCCGTCCCTAATCACCCCCAGGACCCCACCCCCTTTCCCAACCCCTCTGCTCCCCTGGCCCCTATCCACACCCCTACCCCCTGACAGGCACTCAGCAGCGGGAAGCGGAGCAGCCCGGCCCCAGCCCGCTCCACTCCGCCAGCTCCCAGCTGCGGCGCTCTGCTTCCTACTGCTGGTGGGTACCGGGGGGCATCCTTTCTCCATCCTCCCCGCACTCACCGGCAGCGGGAAGCAGAGCGCCCCGGCTGGAAGCTGGAGCACTGCTTTACAGCGTTATATGCGAACCCGTGTTATATCGGGGTAGAGGTACTATCACTGCTAATTGGACACTGAGGCTTTAACTATGAGTTAAACATCGTGGGATCAAGCCCTCAGCTGGTGTAAATTGGCACAGCTCCATTGACTTCTGGGAGCTATATTGATTTACACCAGCTGAGAATTCTGATTCCATATGTGTTTGATTACACTGCTC